TTCACAAGTCTTGCTGATCCAGATCTCAATTTTCTCAGTGCTTTTTCAATTCATCTCTAATATCAAACAATTCAAGTTTGCTTCTGGCATGTTTGAGAACTGGAAGACTCTGTTTCATAGTGATCCAGACAAAATGGAGCTGTCAATTGAGTTTTTGCAGTCATTTCTTTTAGCCTTGCAAAAAGAATACGAAATACCCAGCTGAGAATATGTGGATTGTATGTATTGGTGCCCATGAAATATGATGATTATTTTCTGATTGAAGAAGATGAATGCTGGTTTTTAAAAAAAAGTTTTTATATAGAAACTGCATCAGAGGACTACATCATTAGATTTCAAATCAAACCATTGAGCAAAGGTTGTTGATATGTAGAGTGGGGGGTAGTTGTTACTTCTTCAAAGTCATAAACTGTAAAGTGGTGAGAGATTAAAGCGGTTATGTAAAAAGAAAAAGCAAAGATAAACAAAAAAGAAATGAAGGCAGTCAAAATGCACATGACCTATCCCTTGAAACTGATGGGGACATTACTTTTCCAATACTTGAATTATGTACTGTGAATACTTCATCTGATGCATTTAGCTTATGCTCCCATTTTAATTTCTGACTTGGTGAAATAATCTCAAGTTTCACCTTATTCTTAAATAACTTGCAAAAAAAAACAAACAAAAAAATTAAAGTTGTTCTCCAAGTTCTTAAACTTCTTTTCCTTGCTAGTAAATCTTCTACCAAGGTATGTATCCAAAATGAAGATGAGGATTTTGTTGTCAGTGTGCCAAGCATCCAAGCAATTGAACATTGGAAGCAAGCACTAGCCTATGGAACACAGTTGAGGAATCATTTCCAAAAAAATTCTTGCCCACTGTTCTGTCAGACTGCTACTGGACTGTGATAGTGAACCACTTGACTTTCTATGGCCTATTTTCTCAATTGTTTCATTATTTATATAAAATTCTAATAAGAGAAAAATATATCCTTGTTTAGTGTAGAAATTGCAGTCTCACAT